CGGCCACTGCCTCCAAGTCTCTTTTCCTTTCTTTACTTCTCTCGAACCGTTTGGAGAAAAGCGAATTTCGTAACAATATGAATGCTGACTAAGCTCGTACTAAAATCAAAGTCGGTATGTCAACATAGGTTAAATAAATTCCAACACAAATATTTTCCTCTAGTCTTTGTGATCGCGAATGTCAGAAAGAGAAAAGGATTATATCGACTCAGGGCTTTTCAAAAGTATTTATAGTTTATAGGTATATATAGATATAGAAAGTGGAAACGTCTATACATGCTTATTTTGTTTGTTATGTAGAAACTGCCATGCATCAATGGAAGACTCGGAATTTTATTTTAAAAACTTGCGAATAAAATTACCAGCTAGGATATCAAGTTTAAATGCGGAAGCATCACCATCATTTGTAGATGTGCTCGTACCAAACTGTGTTAAGCACCAAGTTGCTCACGCAAATATTTAGTTTGAAGAATATTTTTGTTTACAATATTTTTGTTAGGATACGATAACTTTGCTAATTTACAGATTTTTACACATGATTTGAAAATTTTTGTGCAGAGACAACATCGTTCTTTCGTACAGTAGTTAACAGTAGTTAATTAAAAATGGAAAGTACTGATTATGACATTTGTGCGGGAAAGCAATGAAATGTAGACTTAAATGAGAATAAGGGTTTTCGTTACGTTCGCGTGAGTGTGCGTTTGCACTTTTTACAAGAGAATTTTTATTAATGCTGACAGTACATGAGCTTATGCAGCAGGCACTTTGTAGCGGCATGTGCTCTCGCGTTATCAATTTTATCAAAATATCAATTTTCCTTTTACGAACCTTGAACTTAGTTCTAATACCAATTGCCATCTCCTGCATGTGCTATTTAGTGCTGCGGTTTCTTGGTTTCATCCCGAGTCATCTGTTTACTGCATACGGTTTTTTGTTGTTTCTCGTACTTAAAAATGCTGTCACAAAGGCTGTACATACCATTAACAAATCCGTATTTCAAATTTTTGTTACAGTGTATCAAATTTTTCCTAATGTTTAGTAGGTAAGTTTTCTTTGCACTATAAACAAAGCCGTAATTTTATTTTCTTCTTAACGAAAGCGCAAACTACATTCTACAGGAGATTACGATTGGTAAGCCTGGATTGGTAAACTGTAGTTGAGGCCGAGTTTTATAGGGCAAAGTTGTCTTATTTCACTTCATAGTTAAATAGCAAACTCTCTATAAATTTTTTTTTCTTTTTGCCTACTCTTGGAAAGCAAAAATTCATGTCGTATATAGTTAAAATTTTTCAATGATCGCATCGTACCGGTATTCTTAACATTAGAAGCACAAATGTCGTGTGTTTGGAATTCCTCTATTATTCCCCGAATTTATTCAAAATTATATATATATTTCTGTCTATGTACACTTTAGAGACCGGGATAGAAATTTGTATCCGCGAGCAACGTGATTTCACTTTTTGTGGATCAAACTTGTTCCAATGCTGCATTCCTAGCAACAAATTATCAACTATAGAGCGGTAAATTACACAGCAAAGTTTATCGTGTGTTTTAAGTTATTAGTGAAATTTTTTGGACTATTGTTTAGTTACTTGTACTGTTTGTTCGTTTTCAGCAATATTAAACTTTTATTTCTCTATACTGTAGAGGCATTATGCGGGATGCCACAAAATTCAAGTAAGAAGGAAATGACGCAGACATATTAATTTTTACCCGGACGGTATGGTCGGTAGTACCGTCTTCATATGATGTTCACATGCACTTTTTAAAATTAGAACTTGAAAAAAAAAAAATGCACGCGATAGCAATCTCCACTAATTGCTATTGCTTGAGAAATGGCATTTTCAACGAATAAGTCGATAACGGCTCCAGGCAAAGGTCCACACAAAACAGTGAAACGTTGTGGATACATTCGTTTGCCAACAATTACTCGTAAATTTTCGGATTAACCAACCCCCCAAGATGAAAATGTGCCCTATCATTGAAGACTATTTCGCTTGAAAAATATTATATATCGTTGCTCTATGAGCCGCTCAACGCGTTCTACGATTTTAGTTATTAATAGCACAGGACTGACCGCTGTCACGCTATCTCTGTTTTAAGACAATGCTTGTTGACAATACTTTACTGCGCGAATGAGAGGGCGACATTCATATATAATGATAACAGCCTATACGTATATTGATAAATTGGTTATTTGAAGAGTAGCGTTAGCTATCCCTAAAATGACAACATGTCTAACTAAAAAGGATGTATTAAAACTTATCAAGGATCAATTTAGTTAGCCCGGCTATTAAAATGCCTTAACGTTCATTTCAAATAACGCGAAATGTTCTACTCGTTTAACAAATATATTAGATTCACTTTCTTTAGGAATTATTGCCATGCTGCTGTCTACATCAGAAATCTTTCTCATACGCTTTGTGTGTTTGCATTTAATGGCTGGATTGATATGTTGGCAAAACAAACTTTATTTGTCAATAACGGCAAGCTTAGGCTCATTTAACCAAGTATATAAAACCGACAAAGCAGCAAGAATACTGAGAATAGCCGTCTTAATCAATTTAATTAGTCAAGAGGTTACTAACGATTCGCCTACGCATCCAAAAAAATGTGCTTTTTGAAGAAAATTTTCGTAAATCAGTATAAAGCTCCTAGTGCCGAAAAGAGTAACATAAAAGCAAAGTGTGAGGAAAAAAGTGTTTGCAATATGCAAAAATAACTAAAAGTATGTCATATCTCTGCCATCAAACTGGAACGTCCAAGATATAATTGAATTTCCTTTAGTTTAGCTTCTATTCATTTATTTATTTTTTCCTCTTGATTTATAATTGGTATTGCTATCTTCTAATTAGTATCATTTTTATTGTAATTTTTTCTTGATTTGTTAATGTTATGATTATTGTTTTATGAATTTGGGTTTTCTTTTTCGGTAGAAGGTGCACGAAAATATATGTAGTTTTAAGCATAAGTCTACATGATGTTAGTGAAACAGCAAACTAATAGAATAGCGAACAGAGTGCCTGTATCCGAACTATTAGTAAAATTGGAATAGATTGGCAATTTAATCTTTAGATAAATATAATATATCTTTAGATAAATATAATATATTTATATAGATTTAGGCAAGTTTTGAAACAGAGAGAAATTGTTATAATTTGTCAAATAATCAGAGCGAAGAATACAAAAAGTGGCCGAGTGTTCGCAAGAATTAGCGAATAAATTTGTTAAGGGAAGACAAAAAGAAAATGGTCAGGAGACTGTAAATTACATGTATAGGATTGACTCTAAAGTGTATTTGTCTATTCTATAAATTTTGTTTAAGTGGTCGCCGCACTTGGTATGGTTGAACAGTGGTCTGCTAATGAAGTAGATGCCTCCGCCACCAATGTGAGTTGATCTTTATTCGTGCGCCCAATTTTCTTCAGACCAACTATTTTCTCCGCATATTAGTTCTAGATGCATTCTGATGAATCCATATATATGATACAACAAGCCGAGTTTTCATTGTTTCCAATTATTTTTCTTTAGTTTTAAATATTCTTCTTTTTATTTTATTCAATACTCTGATTACCTATTTCTCTTTGTTGGGGGATTCATCTTTTCAAAAACCATGCTTAATCAATATTCCGAACGTACATAATTTTTAATTTAGTTCTGATATTAGTAGCATTAAAGCGTCAACTTGCTTTTAGTCAATTAAAATTTGTAGATGTCGCTAGATAGGTTCCATAAGTGCGTTAGTAAAAATTTGGTTTGAAATTTTGGCTATGAAAGACGTTGTAGCTCTATATTGTAATGACAGCCAAAACTGCAATAAAAAAATAATCTTCTCCGATGTTTATTTGTGAACTTCTATGTTACTAAGTATACAAGAAGTCTACAAAGCCAACGTATGCCAAAGAATACTGTACGTGTTGTCAAAAGTCCTCAAGTGATAATGTAGACGTAATTATCTGTGCCTTTATAGATAGAATATATTATTTCAATGAGCGAAGCTAATATTAAAAGATGATTAACACCCGTAGCTGCGATGCGTCTAGTATTTATACTCTTTTCATAAAACGTAAGAAAAAACTATTTTCGAAACAAATTTATTGAACAATAATTAAACACATGCCAGACAAACTATATATTAGTTTGGGGAAAAAGAAATCCATTATTTTTATATGAACTTCAGGACTTTATTTAACATGCTTCGGATTGTCCGATTTGGGTCAAATATGCACCGTTTTGTTATATGATTTGTTGTCATTTTAAAGGTAACTTCAAAATGCCTCTCTCATAGAAGTCCTGGCCTCTATTTGCAAAAAACTCTAGTAGTCGATTTTCACAATCCTCCCTAGATTCCAATTTTTTATCATTAAAGAAATTTTGCAATGCAAGAAAAAGATGATAATCGCTTGATGCCAAGTCCGGACTGTATGGCGGATGCATTAAAACTTCCCAACCAAGCTCCCGAAGTTTCTGGCGAGTCACTGTAAATGTGTGTGGCCTAGCGTTGTCCTGGTGAAACAGGACACCTCTCCTGTTGGCCAATTCTGGCCGTTTCTGGTCAATCGCTATCTTCAAACGGTCCAGTTGTGGACAGTAGAGATTAGAATTTAGCGTTTGGCCATATGGAAGCAACTCATAATAAATAATCCCCTTCCAGTCCCACCGAATGCATAGCAAAACCTTCCTGGCCGTTTGAGGTGCTTCACCGCTTGTTAACTTCCATTTTTAACACGCTGTAACTCACAACTGAATGCACCAAACAAAAAACAGCAAAATAATTTTTTTTACTGCGAAATGTCACCTTTCCAACGAGCATAAATCTGAAATTGTTTGATCGATACTTTACGAGAAATCTATCAGTGCAGCCATCTACCGAAAAAATAACGCATTTCTTTTTCCCCAAACTAATATATATAGATATATTAGATATATGAAAATAACTAAAATAAAATGAAAAAAAATGTACACGCTTCTCGATTTATGTAATCAGAGTGAAAGCACGTTCAATTTGATGTAAAATTTATAGGAATTGGCGGAAGCCCGGGGGAGTTTAAGGTACAATCACTTGATAATGCTGGCGAAGAGTTCGTAGTGAATTGTAATAATATTATTAAATAAGTTGTTAAAGCTCCGCTGATCTATGAAACAAAAATTTTAAAAAACATTTTATTAAAGTGCTTTTTATATTTATGAAAATTTTATTTCATTACCGTAAAATATAGAGAGCGATCAATATTGAATAAGCCAGCAGCGGTAAAACTTATCTTTAGATGCAACAGCTGCATAGAAAATTGCTGTAATTTCTCTTTAACGTCAGGCGACTTTGCTTTATTTAGTAAAGCGTGAACAATACTACCTGTTTTTTCGCTCTACAAAAGAAATTAATTGACGGTTCAAATTTACGCTTCTTAGTCAATCAAATGTAGGTCTTTATTTACCTTTTTTATGGCGCGATTGCTACCCTCCACAATGGAAATAATAGCAATCAAATATAGTATCATTTGACAAGAAAAAAATGTGACAAATTCTATCGTCTTAAATTTGCTTTCGCGTTTCGTTTTGCCTAACAACGTTTCCAAAACATAATAGGCATCGAAGACGATTATCAAAAAAGCTATTGATATTATGGTTAACAGCTGATAGGTAAAATATTTATTAGCTGTCGATGCAGCCTCGCATATAAGTTGATGAATTTCCATAGATTCCTGTATAACGTCACAGGGATTCTTCGAAACTATAGTGTACATAGAAAAAGAATCTAAGCATTGTAAAGACTTTTGTTTATGACTAATAGTTTTAATGCTGCGCGTTTCCCATTGATGGCGGAGATTCTTAAGGACCTGTGAACAAGAAAAGAGAACAAAAGTTTTTAGTTTCTCTATTGCAAATAGGTTTACATGCAAAAGATTAACAAGCAAAAACACTGTAGTGGGCCGCGCCGAATCATTAAATGACTCCACTTCGATTAATGCAGCTATTCATATACGACTTATTAAAATCATATGAGAAATAGTTGAAACGTGGTCCTATATGGACCATTTTCAATAGAGTTTGTTCTACAACACGTCGTCTTGTGTGTCCATGCGTTCACCTTTTGTTTTGATGAAAATTATACACTGATCGTTTTTACGATTTAATAATTCTGTTTTTAGAAAAAACTTGCTAGTTTTAATGTTTCTCGACAAAAACCTTGTAAGTGACCAAGAAAAAATTTACATTCTGACGTGGAAAATAAACGTGGAAAATTCAGAAGGGACGACAAAAGTGTAAGCAGCATAGAATGTGTAAATCTGGACCCTGCCCAACTGTAACTTCTCGAAAATTTATTTTTAAAACACGCACGAGTGTTTAGAAAAGCCTGCAACTGTTATTTGTTGTTGAAATAACTTAACAGTTAAACAAAGGTTTTGTCATAGTTCACATTACACATTATTTTATAAATTGAGTTTACCTTAGAAGTGGTTTACCTTGTTAATTAAATCGTAATGTTGAGTAAACCGCATAATGAACGCAACATTTAATGTTACGACACTTAATAAGAAGATATGTGGTACAAAAAAAGCTACAATAGCTTGAAATGTGGGCCAAACATTATTATGGAACAACATCCAAAAGCTCCCGCCAATGTAAATTGAACAAATGCTAATGATAAACATTAACTTGGAATGGCGAAATTTCATAATGAAGCGATAGTTAAATTCAACGCCTACACCCAGGAATTGATTATCGATTTTGGCTACCACATGGTATAATTCCATTAAATCATTAGTTTTATATAAACTAACACCAAATAATATTAACATCCCACTCATGCCAATAAATTTTTGCAATACATCGCCGACTTGGGATATTTCAGTTTTGAAAAAATATCCAACAATCGATTCATCCATTAAAAAGGAATAAATAAATGAATATAAAAAAAAAAGCACTTGAACGATACTAATAATATAACCGATCCGCGAAATATAAATATTACGCTCGCCGTCACGTTCGGATGACGATATTCTTATTGGTGTTAGACCCATTAGGAAAGTTGTCCATAGTAAAGTTTGTTCTGCCGCATACGAATCACTCGGTTTAATAAAATCACGCCAAAAAGTCATTTAATACAGAAACAACAGAACAATGTTGCAAGGCTTACGAATCACTAAAACTTGTTTAAAGAGTGCAAAGTGATTTTATACCTTTTATTTGTTTTGCTGATTATGAACAGAAAAGCGAAGAGTTGTCAGTTTGTTATAGTTTCTTATAATTTTAAATTAATTTTTAAAAAGAAAGTTGAGAGGTTATTATTGACAGTTGACAGGTTATTAACCACAACTGTTTAATACAAGTCATAGCTCTACGTTTGATAACAAACACATTGCAAAGCGGGCACGGACCAATACTTTACAGCATGAAAACAGCTTCAACGGTGCCGATACTGCATTGCGCTTTAATGTAATAGTAGGCAGCCAGTATCTGGTCAGAAGCACCACTGTTACGGCGACTTATCAGTTCAATAAAGCACGAGAACATTGTACTCGCTGATGACACGTTCCGAAGAAAAAAGTCTCTGAAAGTAGGAAAAGCGGGCAATACTGAGTTCACGAAACGGGAACATCTCCCTGATTGGCCATATTACACTATATATTGGGATAGTGGAAAACGGTCTTGAAATAAAAACATCGATCAATTCAGCTAAGATATGAAAGAAAACTTTGTCGGTGAGAGCGTAAGCAACTTTATAATGCGTTATTATACCATGATTGGAAAATCAACTCCAGAAAACAAAAATGTCAAGGAATGATCTTCTCTTTGATTGAAACGTTCAACTTGCGAAGTTATTGATGGTTATTATAAAGACATCGTCGTCGGCAACTTATTTCACTTGACTCATAGTAAACTTGACACTTTTAATAGCACCCAAAACTATCTTTGTTAGAACTTAATTGTCTACATGTCCCGTGGCTTGGTGCTGTAATTGAAAATCACTCATTTTGGTCATTCATGTATTTGTTGAATCTATGCCCGCATTCAGTTGGACTATACCGTTGTCATGCCTACCGGTAGCAATTACATTTCCGGTTGGATTAGAAACTTTTCATCCCGCACCTGTTCGTATGTCACAGTTTCTTTTTTAAAATCAACTTTTATCGCTGTTTGAATCGTATCGATCGCTTCTGCATGCATTGTCCAATTATCTGCGATAATTATATCGTTACTCTTATGGCGAAGAAGATTACTTCCTTAGCTGTAAACAAACCAATCACATAATTTATATTGATAACTAGCTGCAATTGAGCATAAATTTAGGTTTTTTTGTGTTTAGGTTCTTCTATCAAACCTATCCATTCCTCGTCTGGCTTAAGCGCAGCGCCTCTCAATTTACATGCTGTTGTAAGAATTTCGTGCGCATAAAGCAAAAGGCTGACACCTCGTGCTAAACCAACTTTCTCGAAAAAGCCGCAGAGTGTATTCCACATTTCATATGTAGTCTTGCGTTCGCCAATGTAGGAATATGTTGTCTTATTTATCATCAACATTAATTCCGCCTTTTCTTGGATGAGATTTTCTTCTTTAACTTCATCTCCTTTTACGATCTGCCATACGTCTTCCATTTGGAGATAAACTTCCACAGAAAACTTGCAGTCCTCAACGCTTTCGCAGCTTTCAAGAAAACTGTTATTTGATGGAATTTTATCCTACACTATATTAAGCAGGCCGTGTAACCTATTGGTACTAATAAAACAAATAGTATTTCTCATAGCCGACTTTATTTTGAATTTTCTTTACCAAATGGTTTGCTCATTAAAGATATAACTCATATTTTCGGCTACTGTAAGCCCATAAATCATTACTATCAGTATTGTTTCTGTGATATTTACAAGGCAAGTGTTCTCTATAATTTCTGAGGGCTTTCTGCTGGGCTTCCTGCATCAGATTTTTCCTGGCAAAGTAGTCTTGTGTTTTGACCTTATAGTCACAGACGCATCATTCATTATCCACGATATGACCAAAGTACTTTGTAAAGAAACCAATACTCTGCATTTGGTGCAATACGTGTACAGTGTTCAATTTGAACAATGCATCGTTTAACTAATGGCAGGGATGTAAGAAGAGACGAGAATGAGTGATTTTTCAATGAAATAGCCATTACACTGGCATCTTCCACGACATCATCGACACGCTAATTTCTTATCGCATCGGCTTGTTTTTTCACCTGATGACGCATATCTTGGCCGGGCTGTACTCATTCAGCAAAAAGAGTAAAATTGCTTGGATGATTGGTTTATGTCGAAAGACACGTCGTCGCGTTGTCGCGGTCTTCATGTGTTCTTAGAGAGATAGCAGAAACGCATAACTAGTGATGTACGTTGGTTCGAATAATACATGTTTTACCGAAATTCTTACTTTTTTGTTGATCAGAAAAATTCGAAGGCTCATTTGCGCACTTACTGTAAACAGTTCTGATCAGATATGCTTGTATCTAATTATACGCTTAAACGAATTGTATCTTTTCACACTTCGCAGGATAACGTGTACGGGCCGACGAGTAAAAAGAGTCTGGCCAAACCGAAGAGATGCTTCTGATTGCTAAAATTAGAAATTTTCTCAAGAGGTCTAACATTTTTGCTCACTGTAATTAAAAAAAATTTTGTGTCAATGCAGCAGAGGGGACTGCAAAGAGTTGCACAACGATAATGACACTCTTATATGCTTACCTTATTAAGTATAACCAAACGACGTTCAAAACTGCGCGCCACAAAACAAAATAAGCAAATTGCCAGAAATAATACAGAATGTTGGAGAAAAAATGTAACACACACAGTAAATGACGGCGTAATATTCATGGACATTAAGAGACGATAAACACCCATAAAATAAACACCAATCACCAGACTTTTAAATGTTAACATAACAATAGAAAAACGATAAATACGCGAATATTTAACTTTAATGCCAATATTAGCGAAGTTTTTATCTAAATTATGTAATGTAGCGATGACACGTAACATTTTGCTGCGTTGAGTTACGGCCGATATATATATAACAGTGCCTGTTATGAGACCATTGCAGATTTGCATTGTATTACCGACATCGGAAATTTTGTTGCGGAAAAAGTACCCAGCGACCGATTCCTCTCGTAGTAATGAGATTACGTAGCAGCTGCCATACAGCAGAATATAGAGAGCGATATTGATGAACCCGAACGTCGACATTTTTATACTTTTTTCACCTCCTTTATTTGTTGTTACGCGAAACGGTGTTAAACCATAGAGAAAGGTGATGAAAAACAAAGGCTGCAAAGCTTCAAACACCTGATGCGAGATGAAATGCTGACGTAAATGTTGAAATTTCGTAGACATTGTCAAGTGGATGCGCTTATATTTACTTTTCTTTATTAGCAAAAATCCTTGAAAAATTTTTATCTTATTCACTGTGATAAAGAAGTTGTACTAAATCCACTTATCAAAAGATTATCATCATATTGGCTTTCTTTCAACTGCTGCAATTCGTTTATTATTGCAGCAATAGGATATAAAAATTTCTGCTGCTATTCGTTTATATTTATTTAATAGATTTTTAATTTCAAGACACATTACTGCAAATCAACCACGCCACTCGTTTCAAATTTCGCCTTAACATTGCGCATTATTCCAGTTAAACTTAGCCATTGCTTGTTGTTTGAAGTAGACTTGTGCCTTCAACACATGAAAGCGTTGGGGTCACTAAAGCACACTTGCGGCGAACGTCTATTTGTATGAAGTCTAATAATTTCATAACTTCCGTCGTAGTAAATGTTCTTGTGCAATAAATTATATCTATCTAATCTAGAATATTGAAAATTGATATCATTCCGTGTACTTCAAGCGCATTTGATTCACTTAAAGCATGTACAACAGGTATAAAAATTTTTTCTTAACTTTCAGTCCGAAGATATTTTCGTACGTAGACGCATAAAGTTGCATAGAGTCATAAGCAATTTTGAACAAATAAGAACAGTTTATACACATCACCGTTCCAATAAAGGAAGGGAAGTACACTTTCGTATCCTATAATACCGGGTGGGCGTGAGGTTTTTAAAATAAAAGTGAAAGTTTTAATGGTATTGCACTTTATGAGTAACAAGCAAAAGTTCACAGTTACGTAGGCGTGTGCACGTTGTAGGCGTGTCCTTTGATCGGTTTTGGTTGTTTCCAAATTCTTTTGCAAATTTTTAGGCGATATCACCACTTTTGGGAGAACAGATACTCCAAAGTTGGTCAGATGTACAGACGAACAGGCGAAAATGCTTAGTTGCATTCCGAATTTGAAAATCATCAAAAATGTTTTGAAGCTATGAAGGTGTTGGAAAAAGAATTAAAATTTAAATGGGATAAGCGTAGTCAATTTTTACCATTTTATATTGCACTTTCGCGTTCTAAGAGACACTCATCTTGAGAGGGTGAAATAAATAAAATTTTCAATATAGGATCGTGATCACGTCAAGAATAATCGCTTTAAAATATTACAACTTTTGATGGCTTCGTTTACTACTGAATGTTTGGAAGTAATCAAGAAAAAGCAGCAATTTCATACGGTATCTACTATTATTATTGTTATAATTATTGTTATTATTATAATTTTAGACTAATGAAATAAATTCTTAGACTAAAAGAAAAAGACATTGAGCACTAGCAACACAGGCTGTCGGCTCTAATTTATAAAAGTATATTAGAGATTGAGCCTAGTAATTTTAACAAAGTAATGCATTATATTGAAGTTCAGTTCTGTAACTAATTGTAGAATGTCCATGATTAGTCGCTTCAACACAACACTTCTAGCCAAGGAAAAGTTAAGGTAGTCAAAGAAAATGTGCTTTATAGTGAGAATTTTCCACAATTGCAGATTGGGGAGTAAGACTTCTTCAAGATCCATTGGTGGGTTGCAATTTTACGGCCAAGGCGAATTCTCGAAAAGGTTTGGATTTTCTTTTTTCAAAGTTTGTTGGATATAAAGATGGAATTAAATGATGGATAATAAAAGAGCGACGCCGATGACGGTATCGTAGATTTCCTTCTATAATTTACTCTTTAACTTTTATTTCAACGTAGCTTTGAAGACCAAGCTTTTCCATAACGTCGTCTAAGATTAGAGATGAACAAGCAGAATACTTCCCCGCTAGACCAGCTTCCTCATTTACAAATAAACCGATATTACTTGGTACCAAATCATCTTAATTTTTTCCCCGGGTGTTGTAATCGCATTCCTTAATTTGTTGATGGTGCTCTATCTCGAAGTCGAAGGGTTCCGAATAGCTTTCTAGAGAAATTAGGAGTAACAACGACGGTTTTGGGTTTGTCTTTATGGGAAACGTTCGCAGCGTGAAAGACAGCTGTGGTTTCGGTTGTGAAAGTTGAAGCACTTTGGTGAATTATGTGGTTGAGAAGAACCTGTCCTGAAGCATCAACCACACCACAAGTAGGTGGCAGACCGGAAGATTTTAAGCCATTTGTGTATTAAAGGTTCCAAACGTTACTCTCCAGTACTTGGATTTTTTCCTAAAGACGTTGTTTGAAGTATCTTCTTTCTTGTGCATAGGCATCGAAAAGTCAAAGAAGTCGTGTTTCAAAATCCATGGAGGTTTAACTTCAAAATAGCGGAAAATTTACAAGGAAATGTTTAATTCCTTTGCGATGTACAAGTAATGTTCAATTGCAGATTGTGACTTTCGAATTTTCTTGGCAATAATAATGTTTCTCACAATTTCACCGAGAATTTTGTTTTAATTAAGAAGCTTAGGGACGATTTCAGCTTTTAACTCATAAAGTCTATTTTCTAAAGCTGGGAGACCAGTTTCAATTATAATATTATTCATGGGCTTTGTCCGAAAAGCATAGCAACTTGCTTTGACGGCTTCGGGAGAGACCGGTTGAAGAATGTTGACATTAGATTTGCAGCTATTGCTATAAATTATGAAAGCATAGTTAATCTTACATAAAACAAGCTTTTTAGTAAGATAAGCAATAGTGTTAATATGCGTATGGCTTTTCAAAGCACCGTTTTGTATGAAATTTACTATTGTTAAAATCGAATGTTTTACCCGAAAACAGTGTGTTTTTCAACGACATTTGATGGAAAACGTCAGCCCGAGAATAGCGTCTGAACGTTTAGTACTGGTAAGTCATTAATACACATCAGTAGATTTCTTGCATCTAATATCTGCTTTCGATAAATGTCCACTTTTTCTGATTCTTGCATAGAAATTTTAGCGTCTGACGGGTTTGCCCATGTGGAGACCTCCCGTCCAGTGGGTTCTAGGATGTTGACTGCCTTCATGCTACCTTTTTCTTTTGTTAAAATGTATACATCGTCTGATTGGAGACCATGTTCGATCAAAGAATTTTGCTAATTTCATCGAAAGCGATCTGAGAAAGCGTGACAGAAAAGGAGATCCTTGTGGAATGCCATTCATTAGCGGAAAGGAAGCAGAGAGATAGTTGTTAATTCTAACTTTAAACCGCCGATGCGACATGAATGATTTGATGTAGTTGAAGAATTTGGGTCCAACATTCCATGATTTCAAAAGTCTTAAAATAACATGAAGACCAACTCTGTCAAATGCTTTTGCAAAATCAATTAGGAGAATTGTTACGTGATTTCGTTCGGAAATTGCTTTGCTTGTGAAATAATCAATATGTAACAGAGCGTCGATGCATCCTCTACCCCGCTTGAAACCAACTTGTTGCTTTGTTATTAGGTTCTTGGACTCAAGAAACCAAGATAATCTAGATGCCATAATCTGCTCTAATACCTTAGAGAGGCAAGATAAAAGAGAAATTGGGCGATAATCTGATGCGGTGGAGACATTTTTTGACTTTGGAATTGGAACAACTGTTGCCAGTTTCCACATGTAGGGTATATGGCCAGTCATAAATGCCGTATTATTTAGGTCCAGTAATTTCTTTTTACTAGACTTGGGCATAGCACTGATCATTTGGTATGAGATGCGGTCTAGACGAGGTGTCCTCCCCTTCAAATTGGACAGACAACTTCCAAGTTCTAAGGTGGATATGCAATTTTCCAAGAACATGGCACATCTGTCAATACAATTTGAAAGAGATATTGGAGTCCTTTTATTTTCGATGAAAGCACTGGAGAAGTTGCTGTCAGATGAGTATTCACACCACACTTTTCCATAGTAATTAGAAATCTCATCTGCGTCTGTTAAAGTTCCATTGGGAGTGCAGATGGCAGAAATTTCGTTCAGGTTTGAAGTCCCATTAAGTCTGTTGATTTTGTTCCAGACAACTTTCATTGATGTATTTCTGTGAATTCGTCTCGAGAAAAGTTCGAAACTAAGTGCTTTTGATTTCCGTAATTCTTTCCTGAATAGAGCATTGGCCTTTTTGTATAATAACAAGTGATTCTGATCAGGACATCTTTTCAAGCGGTGCCGGGAAACTCGTTTAAAAAACTATTGGATTGAGGAATAGAGAGATGAGCAGCCGTGCGAATCGCTTTAGACATAATAGCAGCATCATGGTTGCAGTTTCCGTTAAATGGCTTTGAACAGAGGACTGACTAACAGAGGATTTTCAAAGGTTAAGATCGACTATGATTGGAAAGTGATCACTATTATGTAGATCATCAGAAATAGACCAGGAAACTAAAGGAAGAAGTGACGGAGGGCAACATGTTAAATCACCCGGAGAGATGTGATGAGCTGAAAAGTGCTTTCCCAACATTTAAAATGCACATATTGCGTTGAGTGAGAGCCTTTTCTAAAACAGTACCGCGAGTGTTGTTCACTGTTGAGCCCCAGATGGTATTCCAGCTGTTGAAATCGCCGCATATAATTAATGGGGGGGAAAGTACGGAGAATAAATTGTAGAGTTCTTGCTGAGAAAACGATTGCGAAGGTGGAATATAGAGCGAAAGCACTGTAAATTTTATATTTAACATTATTTGTATCGCTACGGCTTGTATATTTGAGCTTAAATTTATTCGTTTGTGAAGTATACTTGATTTTATAAAAACACCTACTCCTTGTTTGGAATATGAGTTTTGATCAGCATTCGTGAAGTATCCAGTATATAATTTGGGTGGAATAGGATTAAAAGAGCTTCTACAATTGGTTTCTTGAAGCGATAAAAAGGTTGGAACAAAATCAGTTATGAGTGTACGGAGTTCATCAAAATTATTAATAAGTCCCTTAATG